GAGCATCCTGGATCCCCAATTCCAGCCAGATCCCAAGCTGGAGGCTGGGATCCAGTTTGCTAGCTAGTAATTACCCCCCCAGGCAACAGAGCTGCTTGTGTGGTCGTGGCTGCTAGGTGCCAGGCAGGGAAGGCGATGAGGAGGAGGGCAGACTGCGTTTCACCTTGCCCGTCTCCTGCGTGCATCTTCAGGCTGCTGGCACCCCAGTAAGGGCTTTCCTCCGCTTGCTGTCAATCTGGGCCCTGCCTCTCCTGCCGGGACACTGCAGCCCCTGCATCACCCATCCCCATCAGCCGCTGTGACCTTTGGGCAGTGGCACTCGGAGCCGCAGCGCTGCTCGGCTTTGCCGCATGGTCCCCAGGGGCAGGCTCAGCGCCACGGCCACTGCGGCTCGCAGGGGGAAACGGGGTTTTCATCTCCATCCCTCCATCCCCCTTCTCGCTCTGGAGCTTTCTTAGAGCCAAAGGGAAGAAAAGGCTGTGGTCTGGCTTTGCTGCTTCCCCTCCGCGCCTGCCCTTTCATTCCCCTCTTTCCGGCAGCTGCAAATGGCTTTGCCTGCGAGCGCTGGCACTTATCTGTTCTCTGTGCCTTTTCATCTTGTGCTGCCTAAACATCAGGGCTGGATGGCTTTGGTAGGTGAGCGAGGAGGGAAAAGTGCTTTTGCTGGAGAGGATGCATGGGCAGGAGAGCGGCAGAACCCCTTGTGCCAACAGGGAATCTGGGTACCTCGGGGGAGGCGGCACAGAAAGCCCGGGTGGGAGATACCCTCGTTGGGTGCTCTTCTCCAGGAGGGTGATGCAGGGGCTTGGCAAGTGCCCAGTCTCCATCTGGAGATGATGGAGAGGCATCCTGGGACCACTGCAAGGCAGCCCGGGCCTGGCTGGGGGTGTCCTGCATGCTGGGGGGGACACCCAGCGCTGGTGCTGCTCCCACCACGCACCCCAAGCCTGCAGGTTCCCCCCTTCCTCCTCAAGGGATGCAAAGGGACAGTGGAGCCAGCGCTGATGGAGGGGATGTGGGCACCCTCAAACCAGGGGAGGCCAGCTATCAGCCCATTCCCTTCACAAGTGTCTTGTTCTTGGATGTACCTGGCAGTGGGGACAGGCAGAGGGGGGACCCCAGGTTGTGCCCGGGGTTATGGGGCTGGCCAGGAGCCTTTCAATGGGAGGGAAAGAGCCATAAACCAGGTATTTCCCACCATTAGGATGGTGATGAACACCCTTTTGCAACAGTTCGACTTCAAGATGCATTTACTGAGGTAAAGATGCTGCAGCAGCAGCGTGGAGCTGCTCAGCTGCCCACCGCCCTCCAAAGGGTTTGACATGTGATGCTGCACGCTGTCCCATGGCCATTGCTGCTTCCCTGCCCTGCAGCCCATTCCACACCACCCTTCTGGGAAAACCAGCTTGGATCCAGCCCCGCTGAGCATCTCCCAGCCCCTCTGCCCAAGCAGCCCCATGGCCAGACCCACTCAGCATCCATCTGCATCCATATCGGAGCTGTGCATCACATCGGGGGCTCACATCTCAGCTGCAAGGGTTACTTTAAGCAAGGAGCCCTTCTTCCTCCTCCTCCTCCTCCCTGGCCGAGGCAAGAGGACCCTGCAGGAGGCAGCCGTGCTGGAGAGCCCCCCTCCTGCCAGGCAGGGCTGGCTTAGTCGAGGGAATAATTGCTCCGTGCTTCTCAAGTGCCATGAATAGAGGGCACTCGTGGCCTTTGTTTATCGCCTCTCGAGTGATAATGAACACTTGCAGAGGTAACCATTGATTCTGTGCGTTCGCAGGAGCCCCGGGAGCCGGGCAAGGGCTGGAGCAGCACCGCAGCACCGCAGCACGGGGAGGGAACTCAATGTCTATGGACAGCATCGGTGCAGCTGCAGGGCAGCCCCAGCTTTCTGCTCCCTCCTTTGGGGAGCAGGTTAACAGTGAATCCCAGTTCAAACCAATTCTCCTTTCCCTCTCCTTCATACAAAGCTTCACCCCCCCCGGTCACCTTGTCCCTTGGCAGAGGCTGAGCACCCACAGCAAGTGCTCACCCAGGGCAGGGACCTGGGTCACCCCCAGAATCAAAGCCTAGGGACAGGAGGTGATGAGGAGTTTGGGCCCTTTAAGCATGGGAGAGGATAAAGCAGAAGGCAGGGTTAGGTGCTGAGCATCCCCACCTGCCTCCGAGCCAGGTAGGTCCCTCTCTGGTTTCCCAGGGGTTTGGGCCTTGAGGGGTGCTGGGGGCTGTTGTAGGGCTGTGGAGCTGGGTGCAATGAGGGGTGCTGGGGACCTCACAGCCTTGGGGAGAGCCTTGTTTGCAGCCCTGGTGCAGGGGAGTGGGGGGAAGCCCAGACTCAGCCGTTTTGTGTCATTAAAACCCAACCAAACCCCTCAAATCCTGGAAGGAGAGCGCTCTAAAGAAGAGATCGGTTTATTCTATCTTATTTCCTCCCTCCGGGTCCCTGTTCCTCTGTCCCCATCCCAGGACTCACTACAGTTTATTGTACCCATTTGAGTGCAAACATCTGAAGCTGGCAGAGCCCCATGCTATTGCTGGGCTGTAAATAACCTGGGGTGGCATTTATTGCCATGGCAGGGAAGGCAGCATCTGCTGGGGCTCTGGGGGTGCTGTTTCTAGAGTATGGCTGTGGCCACCCCAATGGCTCAGGATAGGGAGGGCAGGAGGGGCTGCCTGTGCCCCATAGCTCCTCGCAGCCCAGCTTTAGGGAAGCACTGGCAATGCCACGCTAGAAATGTAAGGTTTAATTTCTGCTTATGTATAATGCTGCTTTTCCTGGGTATCTTGTAATGCTTTTCCAGGCTGTTTATTTATGAGACAATTTATTATGGCACAGTTATTCTATAGCAGGGAAGTCTATTCCTCGGAGCCTCCATTAACTGAGCCAATTGCTTAATTGGCTCGCTGATGTCTCCGCAAGGTATGCCAGGAGAGAGGCTTCTTGTTGTAATGATCACAGCCCCCCTTCTGCCCACACGCCACCAGTGCTGCTAATTTAATAGCGCAAACATTTCTTATTCCTTTTATTTTGGAGTTAATTTTAGGATGCTCAGAGCTGTTCCGGGGTTGCTGGTGGAAGGAAGGAGGGGAAATGCCCTGCGGTGTAATGAGGAGCCTGGCTGGACTCATCCTTCAAAGCCCAGGGGGATGCAGGGGTGAGGCCTTGCAGGGTGTTTGGTTAAAGAGCTACAAGAGGAAAGCTGGGGCTGATCCCCACCTGCATCTGGGTCATTCAAGTGAGGCCAGGGCGTATGGGCACCTGATCTCTCTTTGAGTTTAATGCGCTCCAAAGGGAAACAGGCTCCTAATGAAGAGGCTGGGAGTGCCTGGAAGGGCCAGAGGAAATGCAGGCTTGGGCTGGGTTAGGTGGTGAGTGCCTGCTCCCACTGGTGGGTGCTCACTGTGCCATTGATGGGTGCTCTCTGTGCCATTGATGGGTGCTCACTGTACCATTGATGGGTGCTCACTGTACCATTGATGGGTGCTGTCTGTGCCATTGATGGGTGCTCACTGTACCATTGATGGATGCTGTCTGCGCCCTCCCCCAGTTGTGCCTTTGCAGCGTGGCTGCCCTAGACCTCTCAAGCTCTTTGCCCTGCTCCTGCTCTGCCCCGCTGTGTGCAGTGCCCATGCCTGACCGTGGCATGTGCGATGTGCCCTTCCTAGGGCAGAGCTATAGCTTGCATCCAGCCTTTCCCAGCCGCCCATGGTGCCTATGGGAAGCAGCATCCCTGCGCTGTGTCTGAGCATCCTCCTTCCCTTGCAGGCTTGGCTGGGGGTGTCTGGCAGAGCCAACAGCCTCTCTATAGAGCCCCGCTGGACCCGTGCCCGCTCCAGCAGCCATCTCCAGCCTCGCAGCACAAAGCCCAGCGCTGCCGGTGTGGGGACACTGGTGGAGGCTGCCTGGCCTGTGTGCCATTGGGGCAGGGAAGGGGAGCTGACGGGCAGCGCTGTCAGGTTAACCTCCCATTGATGCTGTGTTTAGTGCAAGGAAGTGATTGAGTTCCGCCGTCATTCTTCGTTCTTCCCTGGCTCCCACCACCTATTGTTCCTGGCTCCATTATCCCCCTGCCGCTTACATAAATGTATCATGTGGGTTTCCAAGGCACAATAGAGAGAGTCTCATTCATCCAAGGTCACCAGCTTTTACTTGCGCTTCAAAGCATCTAGTGCAAGAAACGCTTTCTCTTGAAGATGCTTTTATTGTACAGTGCAGAGGCGAAGGGGAATTGCTCTGCTGCACTCGTGCTGCCCCAGCCCTTCCCTCCCGCTTTCCGTGTGCCTGGTCTTGGCGGGTCTAATCCTGCCCTGGAAAGTGAGGGGCTGTTTTCTGAGCTGGTTGGGAACCCACTGAGGGGCTTCCCAGCCCCATTGCTGTGGCCAAGCAGGAGTCTGTCCCATCCCTGCCCCTCTACCAGTGCCTGTTAAATGGGAAGGGATAAGGAGGGTAGGAAATAAAGGGAGGCTTTGGGACTTGTATGGGGAGGGGTATGGACCAGTCACAGAGAGGTCTCCCTGGCCTCCTGCTGCTTTCTCCCTCGCCCATCCGGGCTGGTGGCTCTACGCTCTCCCTCTGTGCCTTGTATACAGTTTAGACTAGAGAAAAGCAAAGGTAGCCCTTGGTGCGGGCTCGGGACGTGTGGGGCTGAGTCCGGCCATGGGGGTGCCGTGATCCAGCAGCGCGCAGGCAGCAGCTCCGTGCTGGGGAAGGCAATGATGGGGATGCAGTAAGGGAGGCGCTGGGCTCAGCGGAGACCCCAGGCTGGGAGCGGGCGTGCGGGGCGCCCGCAGCGGAAGGAGCGCGCCCGGCCCCGGCTGCCCTCGGGAGGCGGTGCCGGGAGGGGACGGACGCGGCCGGGCCCAGCCCCGCTCCTCTCCTCTCTTCTCCCCTCCTCTCCCCGCCTCGCCCGCACATAACGGGCGGGGGCCGGCGCCGCGGGATGTAGCGCTCAGCACCGCGGAGAGCGGCGGGGCCGGGCCGTGGTGGTGGTGGTGGTGCTGGGGGGGCATGGCCGGGGTGCAGCAGGGCGAGAAGCAGCTCTTCGAGAAGTTCTGGAGAGGAACCTTCAAAGCCGTGGCCACGCCGCGACCCGAGAGCATCATCGTGGCCAGCATCACTGCCCGCAAGCCGCTGTCCAGGTAAGGGCTGTCAGGGGTGGGGGGGAACGGGATGACGACGGAGTCAGGGATACCCCCTCAACCTGCCTCAGCCTGAGCCCCCCATCACCCCCAGTTAGTAGCTCCCCATCAGGGGAGTCTGGAGCATCTTCTCCCTGCCCCATGCCGGTTGGGTAGTGGAGGATGTGGGGGTCCCCTCCCACCGCCCAGGGCAGAGGGATGTTGGCTGGCTGCAACCCCATCCCCTCCCTGTTAGGTGCTGTGCTCCCGAAGGGAGCAGGCTTGGGAAACTTTACTCAGAGGTGCTTGGAGCCCTGGAGCTGGTTGCTTCCCAAGGGGAGCCTGGTAAGCTATGGAGGGGGTGCAGTGGTGGGGGTCATCAGGTAGAAAGTGTGGCCAGCTCCATCCCGGCCACGCAGAGCCCCGGGGTGTGTGTCCTGCTTGGTGGTTGTCTTGTTTCCGCATCACTCCTTGACTAGGGACCACTGGGAAGGTGATGCCCAGGGAGGGGAGCAGCCCCCCTCCAGCTGGACCCTGCCTTGGTGCAGGGGAAGGCTGATTCTGCCCAAGGAGACTGCTCACAGCCGTGGACCGGAGCAGCTCCCGGTCTGGGGTCCCTTGGCTCCCAAAGCCAAGCAGTCTCGATTTGGCACGTCTGGTACCTGCCTGCCTTATCCCTCTTGCTCCTCATCTTTGCCAGAGGCAGAGCAATGGCCAAACCCCATGAAACTAGGGGAATGGGCTGCTTGTATGCACTGAGCCGCTCAGGCAGGCTGTCGCATGGGCAAGCATCCGTGTGGCTTCCTCACAGCAACGCGCTCTCTAATTTATATCAGTTTTATTTTGCTGATTGTCTCAATATTGGTTAAAAATACCCTCTTTGCCTATTTTTTATGAGGAAAAGAGGCTTTTCCTGGTTCTTCTCCCTCCTTGTTTTGTATTCGCACTGCTGGCTGCTCCCACAGTGTGGGGAGCACCCCAAAGTTTCATGAAGGTGATGGGTTTCTAGAGGAGAGGGGCTCGGTGTGCAGTGGGCTGGGTGTCAGGCTCAGCCTGCACTAACGAGCAGAGAGCTTGTGGGGAGCTGCTTTTGATGCCTCCTGTGCTGGCAGCAGTAGCAATGGGGATGGGGGTCCCAGCACTCAAGCAATGCAAGGATCGTTTCTGCCTCTGTGACCAAGCTCCCCAAGCATGAATTTGTCCGATCTCTCCAATTGCCATTAATCAGGGTAGGAAACTGGGAAAAGCTTCTAAAGGGGATGAGCAAATCGTGTTTCCAGGGACAGCGTTTGTAGGGCTTCAGCCTTCATGGGGGAGAGGAACCACTGAGCCTTCCTCCTCTCCTGCCTCGGGCTCAGTCAGCTCCCAAAGGGGCTATCAGCAGGCTGGGTGCTGGCTTGCACACACACTCTTTCCAGCTTGACTGTGCCCGAGCAAGCCGTGCTGCTTAAATACCTCACTGTTGCAGATGTAATACAGCAGCAGATGAGGACATTGGGGAGATACAGCGAGCCTGAGTAGCAGGGATGATGATGCGCGGCTCTAAGCAGCGGCTGGGATTGCCGCAGATGGAGTGCGCTGGCAGCTCCATTCCGAAGTTGAGGAAGGCACTGGGCTCTCTTTAGTTCACTGGCAACGCCAGCTCCAACCGGAGCCTGTGTCGGGGTCAGGAGCTCTCTGTACACAACCAAACGGACCCGGCAGGTTGGCTTTGCTGTGCTTTGCACCTTGGCACAGGCAGATCCTGCCCACGGGGGTCCCCAAGCAGGGGTGTGCTCCGTGCAGCCGGTCACTACCCTGCCAGCTCCCCCTTCCAGCTCCTTTTGTCTCCCTGCAGTGTGTGCCGCCGGTCGGGATGAGGGGATATTCCCCGTGGTGCTGCCATCTGCTCCGCTGCCCTCGCTGCCCTGTGCAGGGGTCAGCCCCGGCAGGGCTCTCTGCTGCGCTTCCCCTGTGCCACAGAGGGGCTTTGCTGTTTTGGGGAGCAGAAAGAGACTTCCTGGCTCCTCTCCTCAGGGCTTGCACCGTGCGGGGCTCTGCTGAGAGCCCGGGGCTGCTCTCTTGGCACAACCACACCGCGGAGATTCCAGACCTCACATCCCCAAAGAGCTCCCTAACGGGGTGCACAGCGATGTCCCCAGCACCCTGAGCTGGCACCAGCAACAGCTAGAGGCAGGCTCCGGCTGCCCATCCACAGAGAGAACAGCCCCAAGGCTTGCAGCAGCTCCTCTTGGAGCTGCCTCCGTGCCTGGCTCCACTCTGGGTTTGTTTTCCTGAAGGTTTTGCCGTGCTTTGGCCTCTCTTCCCTGCCGATGCTCCCATCTAATTTAGGAGCAAAGGACTGCGGTGCCAGCAAGCAGAGTGCACCGGGCAGGAGACGGGGAGAGCCATTAGCCAAAGGGAAGATTAAGAGGACCATCTGGATCCCTGTTTTCTCCCACACTTGACAGCTGGTCCTGTGCAAACTCCGCTGGTCTGTGCCCTGGATCTGGCCCCACAGCAGTGGAGGCGATGGCAGCGTTTCTAGGACAGTGCTGCCCGTTTCCCCATCGCTGGGCTGGTTGAGCCTGTGCCTTTGTGGGGTGCCATGGGGGTCCTGTTGGGAACACCCACAGTGTACATAGCCCAAATCCATCCCTGCAGGGCACGGCTGAGGGCTCAATCCTGCATCCTTGTGCGGCTGTGGTGGGGTTCCTGGGGGTAGAAAGTGATTTTTTGTGTGTCCCTCTGTCATTCCCCACAACTTGAGCTGGCTCTGCCCCGTGCTCCATCCCTCGCCACCACCTTCCTGCTGGTCCTGGAGATAAAGCCTCTCCCATCCAAACTGCCATCGAGCTCTCTGGGATGTTTGGAGGGTTAAAGCTCTGATAAACCCAGGTTCATCCTGGAACAAAAGAATACATTAATCCCTTCCCTCCCGGTCCTGCAGGGGCTGGAGGGGAAAGGGGGATGGGGTATTTACTCAGCCCCAAACACAGCTTTGTGCCCAGAGCAGGGCTCTGCCAAAGTAAATGGATTATTGACCAGTTTGCAGTGAGAAAGGAAAAGCCGAGGTGATGGGGAAAGGGGTTTTTCCAATTAACCTTTCCTCTCCATAGGGCCTGGCGGGACTTTGTGGTACAGCTTCTGCACAGGCAAAGTCCCAGGGTGGGATTGGAGGCGTTTGTGTGCCCAGTGGGCTGGGGAGCGCTGGGGACAGGGACAGGAGCAGGAGCCGGCTGCCACCGCTCCCCTCGCTGGTCCACAAGGATGCTGCAGGCGGCTTTGGCTCTTGTGAACTGAAAACAGTCTTTAAACCTCATGCAATAAAGGTTCACCCAGTCTCAACCCAGCCTTTGGGGGAGGCTGTCACCATCACACTGTAGCCTCAGCCCCACAGCCTGGATCCCCTCTTCTCTTTCTTGTTGGGGCTCCTGCCTGCATCTCTTCCCTGGCTGTGACCTCAGCCCCAGCGTGGTGGCTGGCAGCCCCTTTGCACTCCATGGTCTGGCTTCTCCCAGTGCTGCTGCATATTCCATCAGCACCCAGCCAGACTGGGAGCTGCCCCAGGGTCCCCCCCAGAGCTGGTAGCAGGCCAGGGCATTGTGGGATGCTTTTGGGGGTGTTCGGGTTCGCTGCTCCCACCCCACCAGCCACAGGCTGCCCTGTCCCAGCACCCAAACCTCAGCCCAAATCCACATCTACGTGCTGGCTGCGTCTGGGGGCTGTGGGCGCTGGTATCAGCTCCTGGGCAGCTGGTGATACTGGGTGAGCACCAGCAGCGCTGGGGGAAAGGAGGCTTCTGCATCCCTCCCTGCCAGATGGTCTAAGTGGGTCATCCCGGGGCAGGGCAGGGGATTTGTGCTTTAACCCTTAATCCCCAGGATCGCACCGTGCACAGAGGGGAAAGGGGGGCTGCTCAAGTGGGATTAAACGTGGGTTTCGTGCCTGGTTTGCCATTGCGGGTGATCTCGGAGACAGGGGTGCTGCTGCCACCAACCTGCTGGGACAAGGGTGGTGGTGCCGGGGGTCCCAGCACCCCAGAGAGGGCAGAAGGCAGCTGGAGCAGCCCAGTGCCTTCAGCAGTGACTTCTGGCCGTGTGTTGAACTGGGGACCCAACCTCCGGCTTCCCGGCCACGTTTTGGTGGTCCCAGTCCCTGCTCGTCAGCCCTTGGGCATTGGGGTTTGGTGCTGGTGGTGGGGGGGAAGCACTCTCTGGCTCTGCCGTGCTGGTGGCTCCCCACTCCCGTTAATCCCCCCTCCTTGGCCGGGCATCTGCTGTGCGGGCAGAGGCAGGGCCGGCGCGCCAGCCCGGCTGCCATCTGCTCCCAACCAGCCCCAGCGCTAATGAGCCCATGGCCCCGGCCCAGGCGGGGGGAGAGGGGCTTGAATAGAAAAGCAGGGAGAGAAGAAAAGGCCCTTCCTTGGAGGGGCTGTCAATAGGGAGGCTTTTGTCTGCCCCTGCCCTCCAGCTGGATGGCGGGGAGAGCTAATTAGACAGCTCGGGAGCTGCTGGGAGGCTGGGCTGAGCAAGGGGAAGAGCTGGGGATGCCTGCGGGATCCCCTCCCTGCTGCATCCTCCTCCATCTGCCTGCCCACGGGGCTGGTGCTGGGGACCCTGCTGGCCTCCCCGGTGGGTTGGAGAACACTCCTGTCCCCAGAGTGTGCCCCAGTGTGTCTGGGAGGTGAGGACAGAGGTTCCTGCCAGGGCAGGGTGGGATGCAGTGAGGGCGCAGCACCCATGGGTGCTGTAGGCAGGCATGCTGTGCTCCAGTGTGAGAGGGTGTACAAGCACCTAACGAATTAGGGAAAGGGCCTTTGGAAGCCCCTGTAGGAACCCCAAACTCAAGGATGGGGCTCTAAGCAGTGCTTCCTCTCCCCTCTGTACCCCTGCTTTGGTCACCTGGGGCTTTGTCACCTTCACCTAAAAGCTCCCAGGAGTGAATGAAGAGCTGAGGGCTGTCTGATCTCCTGTCCTCCTCCTCCTCCTCTTCAGATGAGGGATCAAACAGGTTCGATTTGCTTCCTTCCTTGATGAAGA